CCTTAGAAGTCCCACGTCCCTCTTGTCCTGGGGAGACCACAACTGCACCTAATACTCCGGGTGTGGCCTCACCAGAGCTGAGCAGAGTGGCAGGATCCCCTCCCTCGACTCCTCCTCATGCAGGCCACAATCCCCTTGGCCTTCTTGGCCACGAGGGCACATTGCTGCCTAACGGTTAATTTGTCAACCAGAACTCCCAAATCCCTCTCCATGGAGCCGCTTTCCAGCAGGTCAGCCCCTAATCTGTACTGGTGCCTGGGGTTATTCCCCGCCAGGTGCAGGACCCTGTGCTCACCTTGGGTGAACCACATGACATTCCTCTCTGCCCAACACTCCAACCCGTCCATGTCCCTCTGAATGGCAGCACAGGCCTCTGGAGTGTCGGCCACTCCACACAGTTTGGTATCATCCACAAACTTGCTCAGGGTGCACTCTGGCCCCCCATCCAAGTCATTGAGGAACAAGTTGAACAGCACCGGGCCCAGTACTGACCCTGGGGGACCCCACTGGCCACCTGCCTCCAACTGGACCTGGCAGCATTTACCACAACCGTCTGAGCTCTGCCCTCAACCCACTCCACCATCCACTCATCTAACCCACAGCTCCTGAGCATCTGTGAGGATGTTATGGGAGACAGTGTCGAAAGCCTTGCTGAAGTCAAGGTAGACAACATCCACGGCTCTTCCCTCATCCATCCTGTCAGTCAATTCATTGTAAAAAGCTATCAGGTTGGCTAAACAGGACTTCCTCTTGGTGAAGCCATGCTAACTACTCCTGATCACCTTCTTTTCCTTGACATGCCTAGACATGGTCTCTAGGATGAGCTGCTGCATCAAGATGTTGCATCCTTCCCAAGAACAGAGGTCCTTCACATACAGTTTTTTAACCAGCTATGAAATACTGTGTGCTAGAAAAAATGATTCCAGCCTTTCACCCAGAAGGCAACTCTTCACTCCTGGACAAGCTTGCAGAGATCTTAGCCAAACTTTGATCTCCTAAAAGCAAATTCTTGATGCAAAGAGTTTGGAAGTGTACCAGGATTGAGAGTTGAAACCGTGTCAGTGGAATTCACATATGCTCATCTTATACGGCAAATATTTATTCCACATTCCTTTATTTCTCTCCCTCACTCAAGACCACCACATTCACCACACACTGACCCCTTACTTCAACAGACAGATGTCAGATAGAGCTGTCTGTCCTTCTCGAAGACTGCAGTGTTGTAATACAGCTCAGCTAACAGTTGAAGAGCTATTGGCAGAAGCTGAACCTAAGCTTCAACTGCTCTTCAGTTATTTGGACTTCAGCCAAGCCAAGAATTTATCACTTTGAAGGCTCCAAAAGCTATAGAAGGCTGCAAAACCATTTCTCACCCACTCAAGCTACCAAGGGCACATCTACTTTCTCCCAGATGTCTCTACAGGATCCAGCCTAATTTTTGGCCAAACCAAGTTACCATCTTTATCTGAACTATGCCCACAAATTGCACAAGCCCTGGAATTCAGGTTGCATTTGGCAACTGAGATCCTCTGGCTAAACAGAACTTGGTATCGCAAGGGTAAAATTCACTCGTAGAGAAAACAGCATTTGGGACTCATCACAGACTGGCCCAAATCTCTCCCTCAATTCGGGAGCAGCACAAACCTTACAATCAATACCCAGAACCGAAAAGGGATACACTGGATGGGAAAAGTCTAAGAACAGATCCAGAGCAAAGTGAGCAGCCTGAAGTCAACGCGGCCTAGCGAAAGCTCATGTAACATTTGTGTAGGCATCACGTGAATGCAGATGAGCAGGAAAATATTTTCTGCTCTTCAAAGCTTTTTCACATTCTTAAGGTGAGAGAGAGAAGTCTGCAGAAGAAGGAAAAATAAATGACAAAACAGAACTGACCAGCAATACCTTTAGCCTGGGAGGGGGCAGGCATTCTTCTCAACTCTTCACAGACTGAATCTTAAGCACGCAAAAATCTTCATTACATGAAAATATTTGTATAACAGCGAAAAGAGAAAAGCCTCGGAGAGTTGTTTGGAGGAAACGTGCTGGCCAAGGTCACAGGCGAGAGAGGAGGAGGACGTCTGAAATCCCAACTCTCAGTTGTGGAGCGGGCACCAGGCGCTCTACAAGACCTCACTGCCTCGCCAACTGCCACATCCAGCAACTTGGAAAAATCCATATCCAGGAACTCAGAAATCCCTGCACCAGACGCACAACTTTCAGCATGAGACCTAGACTCAAAATCACTAATGAGTCATTTGTGATACATGTGAACATCCTCTTCCAGCCACAAGAACAGGGTGAATTCTTCTGAAGGTGGCTGTGGACAGAGACAACGTTCTTTCAGTGGAAATCCATCTGTCTTCTGCTAAGTAATCCGATCTCCCAAGGTACAGAAAATGAACAAAGATGGCCTCAAAATGACCCACCAAGGGGAAAGATATGCAAGCAGAAGGGTGCTTGGCTTGACAAGGTTCTTAACTTCATACAATTGAATATGTCCACACACGGGGAAGGCATAACGAGCTCAGTGAAGGCTGTTTAAGAAGAAATATTGACAGAGAACATTGAGATTGGATCTAGTAGCCTGACTACCTTGAATTGCTTATACTCGGGCCTGCTGCCTCTCTCACGGTAGTTTTCAAGGATGGCGAGGAAAAAAAATCAAAAGACAAGTTTCAATAGTTAATGCTGAATAATAAAATACTCAACCAACCAAGTGGACGTGTCACTGTAATATTCTCACCAAGGCGCTTGCGATGGCCCGAGGTTAAGAGAGCGCTGACAGCGCGAGAGAACACATCCCTCCCCGGGAGAACAAGACTGGGAACGCTTCCTCGGTGCTCAGTGCTCTGAATAATGCCCGTTTCAGAAAATGTAATTTCCAAGGCAGTGTTACGAGATGACTGATTTTTCAAGCCCTCGTAACCGTTAGCCAGATTCTTGCATTTTAAATACTTACGCAGCAAATCACCCAGTAATGCTTTCATCTTCTTGACAATAAGAATCTGTTTTGACACACCAAACCACGACTCTGTTTTTCCAATCAGGACGTCATGAATTTCATCACAACAATGCACACATTTTTTTCCTTCTCAATTATAGCAGTTTATTTCAATATTTTGTACAGCTAGCATTGGTCTCCAATAATAAGTGTAATCTTACATAAGTGAATCCCTCCCCAAAACCCACCCGGGAGGAAGGAATGTTCAACTTTCACAATTTCTGATTTAGAGGGAAATTATTTCTGGCATAAGACACAATTTGAAGAAAGGGAAGAAAGATCTAAATTTGTGAATAAAATCCCTCGGAAGGTCTCATGGTTTACTTACATCTACTTGGATTCTGAATAAGTGCAGAGGTCATGTCTTTCAAGGCTGCAGGAAGAATACATTCACCTAAGAAACAATTTTCTTCTCTGCAATGGGACAGGCTTTTGTTTCCTGTTCTCCTACTCCACGCCACAAGGCTCTGCTACGTCGATACATCCTTTACAGTCTACACACAGTCACCATTTGCAACAGATCTTTCCAGAGGTGCTCGCATACAGGTCTTGCTTCATTTATTCAGCTGTTTGCAGTACCGTTTAAAACATATTCATTTCTTACTGTGCATTTGGTTGTTTGAATGCAGACAGGAGAAAGTGACCTCAACAGACATTGCCTTTAAGGAATGAACTACATGAAAAACAAATAAATACTTCAAAATCCTTCTGAATGATAATAATGTACATACTCTGTTCCAGTGCAGAACTTCATGGCCTGTTAGGTATAAAGCCCTCCAAGTACAGTTCATCAGCCACAGATGAAGAATCCCAGTCATCTGCTTGTACTATTTTCCTTACATTACTTGAGTAGTGGGGAAAAAACCCAACAAGGTAGAGGGAAATTCCCTTCTCTTCCACAATCAGAGATTTATCAGTGTCTGATATTAAGCAATTCACATTCTCTAGAACAAATAAAAATAAAATGAGGTTTTATAAACATTTCCTTCTCCCTCCCCCCAAAAAATAAAACAAGAAATATAACAAAACAAACAAACCAAAACATGCCATCAGCAATTTTGAAGCAGTTACTAAACCTGGGGAAACACCGCCAACAAGACACGACAGGCAAGAGCTAGCCACAGGGCTTAGCAAATTCAATTCCTATTAAAAAGGAACCCATTCTAGAGGCTAAATCAACTCTATTTGGGTGAAGGCTGATAGACACCTAGACCTCTACAGACCTTCGACCACAGAGATTTTTTCTTTGCTACACCCTTAAGCTTCACAGCCTTTTCAGCCTATACGTCGATGCCATTGCGCTGTTGTTTTTGCACAAAAAAAAAATAAAAAGAGAAAGAGTACCAGTGAAAAGCCCAAACGCTGAACCTGATCCAGAACCTCCAGAAGGAAGTGAGAATTTTACTAGTCCTGACTGAAAATGGGCAGGTGAATACTTGGGATTTTGACTTAAAGACACCTGTTTAAGCCACGTTAAGTCAAGTCTTAAATCCTCATGAAAGCTTACATTGAAAATAAGATCTTGACTCAGAAGACTTGGTTCTTCATTATTTCGAAAGCCTCATTTTACAAGAACGATTAGAGCATACAAGACTTCTTTTAGAAGAAATCTGTATTTCTTGGAATCAAAAGGAAGATAAGCTCGCTACAGTACTGCACCTTGATTTTGTTTTCTTTTTTTTTTTTTTTTTTTGTAAAAGGGGACCACAAATCTGGGCAAAAAGAAAGCCATTGTGGAAATTCCTCATGTTTCTTGAGAGAACAAATATACTGCTAAAGCTACGGAAACTTTCAGCTACGCAAAAACGAGCCAATGTAGCACCTTACTCCACAAGAGCATCCCAAAACGCTTTACAATACAACAGAAGTACCCTTACATGAACGTTATGCACCTGTCTGAGGTTTTTCTGATGCCACGTAGTGGGTTTTATTTTTTTCTTTTGAGAAGTTAAGTCCCGATGACAATAAAACAAATTCTTTCTTTTGTTTCAGCTGTCCATTTCAACGTCTTATATATATATACAACCTTTAAAATACACTTAAAAATAGCTGCACACGTTTTATATCGTTCTACTAGAGAAGGGCAGTCCAGACAGACCATGCTTCTCAGTGTATTAAAAATTGTAAATAAAACCCAACCAGACTTATGCTCCTCTGGTACCTAGGCCGGTCCAAAGGAGGGAAGGGAAGGAACAAGCAGTTTTAAAATGGGAGTCTTTCACAAAACACGCTACTTACACATCTCAGGTTAAATTCCTCAAGCAGTTTTATATCAAATTCTTCCTTAAATATTTGAGGTCGCGCGCTGCCATCTTAGCAATGACATCTGTTGCAACATGCATGTGTCAGCTTCCCACTAAACCAACTGCAACCCTGAGGATATGTCTGGCCTGGTAGAAAGAGGAAATGTAACACAATTCCTGAAGTATGGCTGGTCCTCCATTGCGAAATCCTGTATAGTTTCCTTGATGGTTCTCGGACGCACACCCACACTTTGCTTTTTTTCCCCCTTTAGTTCTCTCTTCCCTCTAACCCACAAGCAGATTTCTCCTCCACATCCACACCTTGAGGTCCCAACGGTGCAATCCGCATCATCCATCCAGAGGTTTTCCCAGGTAGACCAAAGTCACTTCTGTGTTACCATACACGGCCGACACCGCGGGATACAGGCAAACTTTTGGTAGTCCTCTGAAGGCAACTCCCAGGAATTCATAGCCCCTCTCGAACGCTAACGTCTTGTCTTCCATGTCCAGGATCACGCGAATCCGCTCGCCTATCTGCAGAGGGAAATACGAAAAGGAAGAAACCAAGACAAAAAAAAAAAGGAAAAAGTCAACTTATTCAATTGCAGGAAATTAACGCAAAGCCCGGGTGCAGTCCAGCAGATCACCTCAAAGCGAGGCTTTCCTGCACTCCTTTGCCATCGAAGTGCTCCGTTTCACTGATAAATTTAGGATTCTGAGTACCCGCCCTGGCAGCTTGCCATGGGCAACCTCTGTCTAACCAGCAGCGCAGCAGCAAACACAGCCCTTCAGCTCAGAGCACCGCGACAGCGCTGAGAACCAGCACAACACATTGCACTCCCTTCGAGCGCCGCAGCCTGGGCGAGCTTCGCAACGGCCTCCGGCCACCTCACCCAGACCCTCTCTTCAGCTGTTATCACTGAGCAGCAACGTCTGTGAGGAGCATTTCTAAAGGCAACGGACCTGCTTAGAGAAAAGATAAGCGCAGCATATAAAATAGAGCAGAATATTGTACCATCCGGATAAGTACTGTCACCATCGGAGTGATTCCTTTATGGAGGCGGGAAAAAAAATACAGTATAAAGCGTAGGCAAAGGGAGCACGAAAAAAAAAGGAAAACCTAATTACAAGAGGGATGTGGAGCTGCTGGAGAGAGTCCAGCGCAGGGCTACGAGGATGGTCAGGGGCCTGGAACATCTGCCCTATGAGGAGAGGCTGAGGGAGCTGGGCCTGTTCAGCTGGAGAAGAGAAGGCTGAGAGGGGACCTGAGCAGTGTCTAGAAGTACCTCAAGGGAGGCAGTGAGGAGGATGGGACCAGCCGCTTTTCACTGGTGGCCACCGACAGAACTAGAGGAAACAGCTGAAAACTGAAGCATCAAAAGTTCCACAGGAACTTAAGGAAAAATCTATTGACAGTGAGGGTGCCAGAGCACTGGAACAGGCTGCCCAGAGAGGTTGTGGAGTCTCCTTCTCTGGAGATCTTCAAAACCCGCTTGGACGCAGTCCTGTGCCACGTGCTCTAGGTGACCCTGCATGTGCAGGGGTTGGACTAGATGATCCCTAGAGGTCCCTTCCAACCTTCAGCATTCTGTGATTCTATGATTCTATTATATATATATATAATACACATATGCATGAGTGGAATGACCACTGGATGCAGCAGGATAACCATGCACATGATGCTCCCTGCATTCACTTTGCACATCTTTCAAACCTCAAGGCAAGCCAGGGAAACCAGCAGCAAACAGAGCACGATCCAGGACAAACTTCCGATGCTCCACATGCCAGCTCCGGGTTGGAGTTTTCTTCTCATCAATGCATTTTTTAATGTGGAGTTGCTCTTAGTATATTATATAAAAGCAGCTCGTTATGCACATTTCACTAAAGATAAACCACCTTAAAAGATCACCAATACAAGCCCCAAGCAGTTAAAAAAGCAACTGCAGAAAAAGCAAATGAGAAAACCCCTCACCCTTGAGGCCACAAGAGTCTCCCTCGTTTTAAAAACTGTTCTGGTCTTATTGCTACATAAAAGCCGATAAAAAAAAAAATGGCCACAAATGATCCAGTTGGGACTAGCGGACAAACTGTCGCTGTGAAGGCGGCCCAAAGAGCAAGCGTAAAACCACTTTGACACAGGCCGAGGGGCAGCACAGCGCTTCCTCTTTGATAACGTCTACCTGTCTCAACAACTTCCCAGCCTGGCCCAAGGACGCTGGAGTGGGAGTCGTGCCCAACGCCACGTGCAAAGGTACGTGGTGGGTATGTTAAATGAAGAGGGGAGCTCCCAGCGCACAGGGCAACAACTCGCCTTCGGCGGGGAGCGCTTTGCTCCAGACTGACCCAGGCGCTCAGCGTGGGCGCCCGCTCACCCACCTGGTACTTGGGCGCGTTGTTGCACTGCGGGAAGCTGCCGTTGACCTCGCCGTTGTGCAGCAAGTTATTGTCCACCAAGTTCCAGCCCCAGCTCTGGTCGTCGCTGCCCAGCAGCGCCACGTAGCCCTGGCACTGCATGGCGGCGCGCTTGGTGGCGATGCCGATGACGGCCACGGTGCCGAGGGGCCCTTCCCACCACACCTCCCAGGCGTGGCGGCCCTCGCTGAAGCCGATCTTGGCGCGGGCGCCGTCGGTGCTCTGCGCGATGGGGTTGCGGTGCAGCGTGAAGCCGTTCTTCTTGATGTAGACGTTGCGGGAGCAGTCGTTGGTGCTGAAGGCGTGGTGGAAGGCTCGCACCTGCACGGGGGAGGACGGCACGAGGTGTCGGGGCGCGCGGGGGCCGCGCGGGGCGCGCGGGGGGCCCGGCTCACCTTGCCCTTGTAGGTGGGCACGTTGCAGAGGATGTCGGTGCGCAGCGCCTCCTCGGCCAGGCAGCGGGCGGCCAGGCTGCGCCACACCTCGCTGTTCTCGTCGCCGTGCAGGACGCGGTGCCAGAGCTTGCAGACGAGCGCGCAGCTCCGCAGCTCGCGCAGCTCCAGGTAGGAGAAGACGAGCT